GGGTGTAGAGATGCGAGGGTCGCCCCCCCTTACGCAACAAGGGGAGTGGGAGTGGAGGAAATACTCTTCCCCTAACAGTGCCATAGGCACGTAGGGGCCCGGGAACGAGTGGTCGCCGGTGGTTGAGCGGTAGGCGGGGGCAAGCACGGGTGGAGGGTGGGGGCGGCGGCGGCCTGCTCCGACGTGATGCCGTCGATCGGCTCGCAGAGCCGCCAGATGGGCGGGTGCAGCTGCTGCGCCATGTACCACGCCACATCGACCTGCAGGAAGCCCTCCGCCTTGAGCACCGTCTTTGGGTGGTGCGCGCGCTCGGCGACGGACGACTTTGACTCGTCGGCGGTCACGACATACCTGGCCGCCGCCGGAGGCGTGTGAGAGAGCTGGGACAGCGTCACACGGCAGGCGGGTCCGGTGGGTGGGTGGGTGCGGGTGCGGGGTTGCGCACTCGATGACGGAGCCCGCCGGCACCGACTCGCCCTGCTCCATCATCGCCTTTGCCACGACAACGTGCGGCTGGTTCTTGCCGTCGGGGTAGTCTTTCGGCGCCTTGGTCAGCTGCTTGGTGATGACAAAGGCGTCGAGCGGCATCTCGTTCTTGCCAACCTTGTCGGCGACTTCGGAGAGGTAGGCGAGGATGGAGGAGACGACCTCCTCCTTGGGCTTGCCCGACAGGATGAAGTCGAGCACGGCGGAGCCCGCCTCGCGCGAGAGCGTGCACCAGTCGCGCCGGACCAGGTCGAGGCCCTTGGTCTCGCGCGTGACGCTCAGCTTGCCGGGCGCCTTCTCCTCGACGAGCAGCGCGGCGTACTTCTTCTTCTTGAGGAGCAGCATCGCCTGCATCAGCCCGTCCAGGTCGATCTCCATGCAGCGGTAGTGCTTGTTGATCTCGCGCTTGAGCGTCTCGGCCATCTTTCGCGCCTCGGGCAGCGAGTCGGTCGCCGAGTAGACCATGATCGAGTCGGTGTCGCCATAGATGACGTCCATGTTCGCGCCCTGCGCGATCTCGACGGCGTGCATCAGCGCGTCGCGCCCGCGCGAGGTGATGAGCTCGGCGAGCGCGCGCGCGTAGAAGCGCGAGCCCTCGAAGCCGAGGCAGCCGTACATCGAGTTGGCCATGATCTTGAGCGCCTTTTGCCGGATGTCGAGCTGCGCGCGGCGGCCGGCGTCCTGCTCCTTCTTGAGGAGCGCCTTCACCTCCCTCCGCCGCGCAACGAGCGTGCCGATGAGCCGCGGCAGCACGCCCTGCTCCACCGAGGCGGGCGGCGGCACGGCGAGCGGCATCACGCCGTCCGGGTCGGGCGTCGGCCGCGAGATGGTGGTGAAGCAGATGTTGTACTCCTGCACGATGGAGGGGTAGAGCGAGTTGAAGTCGAGCAGCAGCACGAACTTGTCGTAGAAGCCGCGCTTGGGCTCGAGCACGAGGCCGCCCGCGTAGGCGGGCTTCTTCCGCCCCGTCTGCCCCTCGCCGCGCCGGCCGCCGCCGTCGTCCTCGTCGTCGGGGTCGTTGCCCGCCTCGACCGCCTTGGCCTTGCGCTTGGCGGTGCGCACGGCGTACGACTCCTTGTCGGGCGCGAGGTACTTGAGGCGGTGGAACTCGTGCAGCAGCAGGTACTCGATCCGCTCCGCGCGCTTGCCCTGCAGCGACTTGGACCAGAGGTTCCCCGCGAGGCCGGTCAGCTGCTTGGTGAGCGGCAGCACCTGATGCACGCGCGCGGCGGTGAGGAGGCGCGGTTCGCGCGCACGGCTGCTCGCGCGCGGGCGGCCGCGCCTGCAGCCGGAACATGAGCTGGAGCGAGAGGAAGGCGTCGTTCTCGACGCAGCGGACGAGCTGGAGGAGCGTCCCCGTCTCGTCGAACGCGCCTGCGATGGCGGCCTGCTCGAGCTCGGGCTTGTTGGCGCTCAGCTGCGTGCGCGCGAGCTCCTTGAGGGAGTAGGAGCGCTGCGAGGGCAGCAGCTCGCGCGCAGAGACGAAGGTGTCGCACATCAGCCGGCCGGCCACGACGGACCACTCCGCCCAGTTGCCGCCCCCGCCGAACGATCCGCCCGACGACGAGAGGCGCGGCATGTTGCGCACGCGCATCCGGCCAATCTTGGACCAGTGCGCCACCTTGAAGGTGGAGAGGCGCGAGAGCAGGACCGAGATGTCGTGGCCGGCGATGTTGTGCCCCACGAGCACGTCCGGGTCGAGCTGGTGCAGCCGCGCGATCAGGAAGTTGAGCAACCCGCGCTCGTTACCCACCACCTCGAGCCGCACCTTGTCCTTTTGGATTGTGCGCGTCAGGTCCCACGGCCACGCCTTGTCGAGCTTGCGCACGACGGAGAAGGAGGAGAGGGCGGTCGGGTTGGAGGTCGCGCCGTCGGCGGCGACGCCGCGGTGCGAGATGACCGACGCGAGCGCGATCTCGGGCTGGTTCTTGGCGTTGAGGATGGTCTGCACGTGCAGCGCCGCCACGATGAGCGGCGGCGCCGGCGGCGGGTCGCGCCGCACGGTGATGCCCTTCTTGCCCTCGGGAAGCGCAACCTCGTACTTGGTCCACGAGGCGGAGGAGGTGGCCGCCGCCACGCCGCTCAGGGTGAGCCAGCACGGGCCGGCGATGCGGCGCTTGAGGAGCAGCAGCTCGAGGCACGAGGTGCGAGCGCCTACCCACAGCGGGCGCGGGGGCGCGTGGTGGTCGTGGAGGAGGGGGGGGTGTGCGGAGGGCGGCCCCTCGCGCCGAAGACGCGCGAGAAGGTCTCGCCGACTGCGTCCGCCGGCAGGGCCGGGTACTCGCCAGAGTAGACCAGCTTCAGGTAGGCAGACGTCGCCGGCACGCCCGGCTCCTCGAAGGCGTACTGCCGCTCGACGCGCTTGCACTTGAACTTTGCAATCTTGTGCTTGCGGCAGAGCGCCGACACCTCGTTGAAGACGTCGACGAAGGAGACGGGCGCGCCGTCGGCGTCCGTCTCGCGCGGGAGGACGTAGACGTTGCGCTCGCAGCCCTTAAGCTGCACGCAGCACGACGCGAACCCGCCGTCGCCGTCCGCCGCCTTGCCGATGAGGTAGAGGGAGCCGGGCGCGTGGAGCTCGTCCTCGTACGCGTCGAGCCTACGCGGGGACGCGTCGTGGACGTGACGCGGACGCGCCGCGGGAGAGGGGCGGCGCCAGCGGCGACGGGCCAGTAGAAGGAGAGCGTGCCGTCCTCCTCGCACCGCGGCAGGCTGCCCGTGCCCCCGCCGCTGGCAGGCGCGGACGACGCCGGCTCAGGTGTGCTCGCCGCCCCGTCGGCGGCAGAGTCGTCGACAACTTGGAACCAGTCGACGCCCGTGCTCACCTCCGCGGCGCGCATGAAGGGCACCGCCCGCGGCCCGTCCTCCGCCTCCCCGTCCGCCGCCCTGCCATCCGCCGCTGGCGACTCACCGCCCTGCGCCGCCTGGGCCGGAGGGGGGAGGGCGAGGGTGTGGGAGCGTGCGAGACGAGAGCGCCTCAAGAGGGGGGGGGGGGGGGGCTCGGGGGGGGGGGGTCCGGGGGGAGGGTTCGCCCCCCTCTCCCGGGGGGGGGGGGGCCTCTTTTTTTTTCCCGGTTT